TCTTGATGATTTTTTCCCTTTATTTTTTTTTAAAACAATTTAACTATAAGCTCTTGCCTCTATGTTTGTCATTTTTGTTCAGAGGATGTGAGCTTGAAGGAACCCAGCTTCAAAACTCATGCTCACAAGCCGGACGCCGGTGGCTCACGCCTATCATCCTAGCTACTCAGAAAGCTGAGATTTGAGGGTCACACTTCACATCTAGCCTGGGCAGGAAGCTCCATGAGGCACTGAATCTCCAGTTAACCGGCAAAAAAAAGCCACAAGTGGAACTCTGGCTCAAGTGGTAGAGCACCAGCCTTGAGTGAAAAAGGCAAACAGACGGCATCCGGATCCTGAGTTCAAGCCCCAGGACTCAGACACAACACAAAACAAACAAAAACATTCTCTTAAATGCCAAGTAAGTGGGAGGAGAGGAAGAATGGGGGCAGAATCAAGAAGAGAAGACAGCTAAAGAGGAGGATAGTTTGGAATATATATGAATATATTCCCTTTCCCTCCCTTCCTCCCCATCTTTTCATTTGCTTGTGACCTCAGTAGTCAACCAAAAGAAACCTTTTGCCTTCAGGAAAACTTGGGATTATGAAAGCCACAAAGCAAACAGCAGAGAGGTAAGGAGCCGCTCTGGATGTACCGGATGCTAAAAGGCTTTCTGAAATAGTAAAAGCTTGATTGGTGAGGACTGAACCCTCTTTAGCCGTGATCAGAATCCTACCCTGTATACCATGTTTGTTTGGTTTGGTTTGGTCGGTTGTGGGGCTTGAATTCAGGGCCTGGGCGCTGTCCCTCAGCTCTTCAGCTCAAGGGGGGGCTCTCTACTGCTTGAGCCACAACGCCACTTCCGGTTTTCTGGTGGTTGATTGGAGATCAGAATCTCACAGAGTTCCCTGCCCAGGCTGGCTTTGAACCGAGATCCTCATAGCTCAGCCTCAGGAGTAGCTAGGATGACAGGCGTGAGCCATCAGTGCCCGGCTATCCCTTAGTTTAGAGGCGACCCTGAGTGTGCTCAGAGAGACATGCTTTCTGACAAAAATGTAGAGTTGGAAGTGGTTTGCAGGGTGAGGAGCTGGGGAACCGAGGGTCCCGCTAGTGATCCTGGGTACACTGAGACCAGACACTTCCCCATCCCCACCCCTTTCTGCCTCTCCTCAGCCTTGAGTTATACAAGATCCACGAAGAAAGAGCACAGGACACCCCTTCCCTGTGAACGTCCACTGCTCCCAGATCCGCTTAGAGAAAAGTAGGAGCAGTAGAAAGACAGCTTAGGAAAAGACAGAAAGGGTAGGGGGTACGGTGACACACCTCAATCTTCCTCAGAAGGAAGAGGTAATTGGAGGCTGAGGTGGTTTGGGTTGAAGGAGACCTTCAACCCCAAGATTGATTTCCTAGCTTTCTTAAAGATTCTGTGAACTACATTCTTTTAGCATAGTCTTTTCCTCCCTCCCTCCCTCCCTGCCTCCCTCCCTTCCTTCCTTCCTTCCTTCCTTCCTTCCTTCCTTCCTTCCTTCCTTCCTCCCTTCCTTTCCTCCCTTCCTTCCCTCCTTTCCTCCCTTCCTTCCTTCCTTCCTTTCTTTCCTTCATCCTCTCATTCCTTTCTTTCTCTTTCCCTTCTTCCCTCCTTCCTTCCTTTCTTCCTTCTTCCTTCTCCTCCTCCTTCTTTCTCTTATAATCCTGCTGCCTGGCTGATAGACCAAGATTGCTTCAAATAGGATGGTACCCCAATAGATACATGGGTACACGCTATGAATAATTACACAGCTAATTCCTAAAGCAGAGTCTTAAATGACTAATAATTACATAGAAGCGTTCTACTTATTAATAATCAAATGAGGGTGGATTTTTTTAAAAAGACACAAATTTTCAATGATCATAATTGCTTAGGCTTTTATAGATCGTAATATCCAGTCTTGTTGAAAGTGAGAGAGGAGGGAGATATTCTCAACAGGAGCTAATGAATATGCAAACCTTGTATTTAGGGGAGATAGCCGCCCCCCACAATTTATTTATAATAGAAAAAATATGAAAACAATCTAAGTGTATGACAATAACGAAGTGATTATATAAATTATGCTCATTCAGTTCCATAGTGTTCAGCCAGTAACAGTGTGACCTGCAAACAATTTTCCATGACAGATCATGAAATGATATTGTTTCAAGAGATACTTAACTCTAGGAGGTAAGATCCTTTTCTCTTAAAAATATTATTTTTTGTTGGTCATGGGTCTTGAACTCTGGGCTTGAGCACTGTCCCTCAGCTCTTCAGCTCAAGGCAAAGCACTCTGCCACTTGAGCCACAGCGCCACTTCTAGTTTTTTGGTGTTTCATTGGAGATAAGAGTCTCACGGACTTTCCTGCCTGGGGTTGGCTTTGAACCCCAATCCTCAGATCTCAGCCTCCTGAGTAACTAGGATGACAGGCATGAGCCACCGGCACCTGGCTCTATTAAAATTATTTTTTAAAAAATACATTATATGATATACAAACTTACTCCAAAAAATCACATACACACAGATATATATGTTGATATCTGTATCTATCTGGATTATGCTCAAACAGGAGGCTTTAATTTTCTCCTTTATTCCAAAAGGTCTTCAATGATGAAGGAAAATCATATATTGCAGAGGGGGGGGGCATGGGGCCTGAACTCTGGGCCTGGGCGCTGTCCCTCAGCTCTTCAGCTCAAGGTGAGCACTCTACCACTTAAGCCACAGCGCCACTTCCGGCTTTTTCTGCTTATATGGTGCTGAGGAATCGAACCTAGGGCCTCCTCCATGTGAGGCAAGCATTCTACCACTGAGCTACTTTCCCAGCCTGAAAATCATATTTTTAAGTCCCTGATCATCATATTTCTTTCTCTCAATCTGTCCAATAGCTTCCCTGCAGCAATTAGCATTTGTTTACCTCCACCATTTGAGTCTTTGAGTGTGTGTGTGTGTTCTCTTGAAATAGTGGCAGTTTATTTGATTTGTTGAAGAACGGATTCTCTAAAGTGGATGCAAAATGTCTAGGTCCCGGTCCCAGGTCTGGATGGCCATTTTACCCATTTTTGGACAAGCATACACTATGTAGGCCAGACAGAACCCTATGCTGTTTCCACACTGTCATTCCCAGTTCCACAGCAGTCCTGAAATTAACTGCTGATTCCCTCCCCCACCCAACTCCCTCCCCATGGGTTCCCTAGCTCTGCCTCAAGTCAGAAAATAATCAGATTTGCAACAGTGCATTCAGTTAGGTTTAATCATAGATGCCCGGAATTGCAGCACGATGAATTATTGAAAACATGGCTTGGTAGTACCTAACCTGGTGATAGCCGTTATGACTTGAATGTATTGAAAAGAAAGGGAGTTGGCTTCTTTGCTGGAGGGGAGACAGGGAGGTGGGGACCAGCGGCTCAAAGTGACATTGTGTGGAAGTTTCTTGGTCCTTTCCTTTTGTCTTGTTTGGTGGTGAGAGGAGGCCCAGAAATGAAGGCACCAAGGGTAAACAAAGGCAGCTGTGGTCTCACTGGACACCATGTGGAAAATGGACTCTACCTACTTATGGAGGGGGGGAGAATGGGAGGGAACGCAACCAACAAAAAGGACAAAAAAGAACACACATACACACACACACAGAGTAACACACACACAGAGTAACACACACACACACACACACACACACACACACTATGGTGGAACTATGTAGAAATGATGAATTTCCTGTCCCAAACAAACTGTTGAGTAGCAAAGAAAGTCAGGGCCATTGTCAACACCCATGACTTCATCTTATTTTTTTTGTCAGTCCTGGGGCCTCAACTCTGGGCCTAGGCGCTGTCCCTCAGCTCTTCAGCTCAAGGCAAGCACTCTACCACTAGAGCCAAGCCACTAATAGTTTTCTGAGTGGTTCATTGGAGATCAGAGTGTCTTGGACTTTCCTGCCCTGGGCTGGCTTTGAACCATGATCCTCAGATCTCAGCCTCCGGAGGTAGCTAGGATGACAGGCGTGAGCCACCCACGCCTGGGGGCGACTTCATCTTTTTTCCACAAAGAGTGCCGAATTGGTTAATAAATACTCACTCAATCAGTGTAAACACTCTTGTCTTCCCGTCTGCTCCGCAGGGCTTTACCCTTCTGTTTGGGACCAGTGTCTCCCTGCAGTGTGTGAATATGAGATGTCAACTCCCGGAATAGATGGGGGAGTGCAATGGATTTGACTCAGAAACAAACAAACAGAAATATGCATACTTCACAGAGCAAGCCCTGCTTCACTCCGTGGTTTTTGAGTTTTTCTTTCTTTTGCGTAAATAATTTGCAGTGTCTTCTGGGTTTCTACCAGCCCTATTTCCTCTCTTACCACTGACTTCCAGAAAACTCGTGGAGCAATAATCGGGCACAGGGCTAGGGAGAGGAAGTGATGTGGAGAACATGTGTTTTCTCTGACTCTTACTTATGGTTATTTAGCATTTTCTTTCCCTCCTTCCCTCCCTCCTTTCCTCCCTTCTTCCCTTACCTTCTTTCTTTCTTCCTTCTCTCCCTCCTTCCTTCCTTTCTCTTTCTCTTTCTCTCTCCCCTTCTTTCTTTCTTTTCTCCTTTCTTCCTCTGTTTCTTTCTCTTTGTTTATTTCCTTCTTTCTTTGTTTCATTTCCTTCCTTCTTTCATTTGTTTCTTTCTTTCCTTCTTTCTTTGTTTCTTTCTTTTCTTCTTTATTTCCTTCTGTACTTCTTTCTTTGTTTTCTATTTACTTCCTTCTTTGTTTCTTTCTTTCCTTTCCTCCTTCCTCCCCTCCCTCTCTCCCTCCTTCCTTCCGTCCCTCCCTCCCTCTCTCCCTTCCTCTCTCCCTCCCTTTCTCCCTCCCTCTCTCCCTCTC